GCAAAATAGTGGCCTTAATAATTACTGCATTCATGGAGCTGCGTAGGCTTCGGCCCGTGCTGGGTTTAGAGTTTCGGGTTTCGCATTCAAGCGTTCGGGGTTTGAGCCATATAAAGGATACACCCCGAACATCAAGGGATGTTCTTAATTTTGTGTCATGGACTTTCTAGTGTCTTCCAGTGATATAGGTGATAATCCCTAAACCCTAAGCCCTAAACCCTTGCATTTAGGGTTTAGAATCTTATACTACCGCCACCATGGTGTTGACCCTAAGGCATAGTGTCGTTGGGCATTCAAGCAACAGTTTTGAAGGGCTTTGGGGTGGTTGAGCGCCTGGGGGTGCATGGTTTAGGGTTTAGGGTGCTAAAGTTGGCGGATGAGTCTGATGGGGTTTACTAGTTGGGTTTATAGGCTTGATATGGCTTGTAGGGCTCATGGTAGGCTGATGAGAAGCTTTCGGCCTTATAGGGCTAGGGTTTAGGGTTTAGNNCCTAAACCCTAAACCCTAAGGGTTTACGATTAGTGGTCCTATCTATCTTATACCTGGAGATGCCTGCCACTGCCAGCTCACTCGGGATGCAAGCAATTTTAGTTGTGTTGTACAAGGTTTTATCTGGTCTTGTAGGGTTTCAACTGGAGTCCAGAAGGTCATAAACAACGGCTAAAACAATACAAGCGCATTCATTTATAGTTAGAGTCGGTCTTGGTGGAATCTTAACCTGAGTTGTGTCATGTCTGGCAAGGGTTGCTACTTCTTCAAAGCCCTCTACCTTTTGGCTGGCAAGAGCTTCTAGAACTGAGAGGGTCAAATCCGAGCTCTTAGGGTGTGGGTGCTGTCCACTACAGCTTCTTTCAGGGTTTAGGGTTTAGGGTTTAGGACAGTGCTTGCACCAAGCGGCACGGCACGAGGAATGAGCTTGTCAATAACCTGCTGCCAGGCATGCGAACACGCAATAAACTCAACACCGAGGAACTCCGGTGAAAGAGTTTAACTACGCTCACAAAACGCTGGCCTGAACCCCTGGCACCCTCTACCACGAACCCTAAACTCCAAAATCCTACACCCCAGATAGACCCTGAACCAAGCACCTTACACCCCACTGCTGCAAATCAACCCACAACGCCAATGGTACTTGCACTACGGCCCAGACCAGGGTATGCTACCTGTCAAAGAACTCCACGTCCCTTATTGAGAAGGCCCCATTTATTACCCTGCCTCACCCAAGATTGCATGAAATACGTAATGCCGGGATAAATTGAACTGGCTCTTGAGTCATATACCACTAGAACTATGTTGGCATTATAACGGTGTGCTACAATCAACCTATGATATATTTTTAGACAGCACTATGTCCGGAATGCCCGCAAGAGTCAGACAGGGGCACCTGATCGTTGTACTCCTCAATGCGATAATGCCTGAGGAGCTCTACATCTTGACATGTCAATGTCAAAGACCCCCTAAACCCTAAACCCTACACCCTAAACCCTGAACCCTAAATCCGAAACCCTAGACCCTAAACACTAAGCTCTAAAACCTAAACCCCAAACCCCAAACCCTGAACCCAAAGCCCTGAACCCTAAACCCTACATCCTAAACCCAAAGTCCTAAATCCTAAACCCTAAACCCTAGTCCGATCTGTAACCTGCTCCCTTATCGTATTTTCCACAACGACATCTCATAACTCGCGAAGGCCCTGAGCATGTTAGAGGTGAAGGGTAATCCGTCGGTTTAGGGTTTAGGGGCTTAGGGGCTTAGCGTTCAGGGTTGAAGGGTTAAGGCGTTGAGGGGTTAGGGTTCAGGGTTTAGGTAACTAGCTAGCTTAGGGTTTACGGTTTAGGGTAACTAGCCTCGAAATGTCAGGTCGGAACACGAGGACAACAACATCGCTCATGTATGAAGTGGGCCCGTGCGGAGGGCTGAGTATCCTAGCTCAACAAAACTGTACCTTGTGGATATTAGGGTTTAGGGTTTAGGGTTTAGGGTTTAGGGTTTAGGGTTTAGGGTTCTGGTAGGGCTATATGTATATTATATATGCACGGGGAGACGAACCAGAATTAGAAAAAACAACATACCTTGCTAAACCTTAGACCCAGGCCTTCCAAACACTAACGCCTATCCGCTACAGCATCTTTGCCTGCAGGCCCCGTAATATAGCCAGCAGCCAACCAGGAAATCGAACGAGATGCCCAAAACTGCGCGTCCCTAAACTAACATAGAACAATGATCTACGACAATACGGTTGATGATATAAATGCTGCATTACCCATAACAGGGAATATACCATAATTCCCATAGTTTAGGGTCCTGAAGGTAATGCAGGAATTAGCTAATCAGCAGTAGTTCTGAAATTTAGGAAGCGGTGCTAGGTCCTGGGTACTGCTGTTCTCGTGTTCAGGGCTTAGCGTTGATGCTGAAGGAGTTGAGGATAGCATCATTAAGTCTGTGATCAGTTAAACCCGAAAAAAAACCCTACATGTACCCTAACCCTCACCCTCCCTGTACCTACTGATTATAGAGGCTGCTGGAGCCCCTTGGGGCCCTTTAGAGTAGGTACCTTGAGGGTTATAGGCCCTAAACCCTAAGCCCATAAACCCTACACCTTAAACCCTAAACCCTAAACCCTAGACCCTAAACCTTAAATTCAACCCTAAGCCCTAAACCCTAAACCCTATACCCTAAACCTTAAATTCAACCCTAAGCCCTAAGCCCTATAAATCACAAACCCCCGAAAACCACCACCTACTTTGGGCGATTTGGAGTCTCAAAAAACATCGAAGCCCCGGAGAGGCCATGTCCCGAAGGCCCTACCCAGACCCCCAAAATGATCTAAAAAAATAGATCCCCTAAGTAAGGACCCTAACTACTAAAGGGTACTTTATAGGAACCCCCTTAGGGGATCTATTTTTTAGATGCTTTTGGGGGTCTGGGTAGAAAGGTTGTCAAGTAAGGGGTTGAGGTTTGGAAGGGTTGAGGTTTAGGCTATCAAACTGGGGGTTCATATCCAGAATCCCATAAGGTAATCCAAAAAAGGAACTACTAGGGTTGCTAGGGTTGAAGGGTTTAGGGTTTTAGGGTTTAGGGCTGTAGGGCTTAGGTTTCTGGTTTTAAAGGGTTTAGGGCCCAGGGCTGCTAGGGTTTATTGGGGATTTAGGGTTTAGGGTTTAGGGGTTTAGTATAAGGCTGCTGGGGTTTAGGGCTTAGGGGCTCTCATGATTGATTATCTGAATCTCAAACACTTGTGGACTTTAACCCTAAACCCTAAACCCTAAACCCTAAACCCCCCTATACGCCACTAAACTTCGTGACCTGAGCCGGTCCTAAGTTCCTTTCAGAAGCGCCAATGGGCCCAAGCCGTATAACCCAGATAGATAGATGCTAGCTAGCTAGCCAGCTAGCTAGCTAGATAGATAGATAGATAGATAGATACATAGATAGTTAGATAGATAGATAGATAAATAGATAGATAGGTAGATAGATAGATAGATAGATAGATAGTAGACTGATAGACAGATAGATAGATGTGTGTGTGTATATAAATAAATAAATAAATATATATATATATATACACATACGGGTCTGGGAACTTCGAGTACAAGGTCTTGGCGTAAAAAAACGCTTACGCAGCATAAGGAATCTAAGGGTAATTACTTGAGCCCCCTGTTGTAGGTGATTGTCCCTGTTGTGAGCCTAGAGGCATCACAGTCTTGTGCCCCATGAATCCCTCGATTGACATCTTCAGCGCGACGAAGGCCTGAAACAGCTTCACACGGACAAGTTCATGATCCGTGGAGACAATCGGAGGACATGAGAGCGAGGGCGAAACAGTGCTGCAGGGCTCAAGGCTTAGGGTTTTGTTTGGGGTTGAGGCTGAGACGCCCTTTTTGGAACGAAGAGTCGCAAGCTATACGACCCCAAAACCCTAAACTCTGGCATTCGGTAAGGCACACGGTTCCCAGTCCGTCCCAGAAGGAAGACGGAGCAACTGATGAACTCGGAAACTTAGTGTGGCACTGAGCGCGTGGCCTTGAAGACTCGAGCTACTGTGCAGATGTGAGGTAGCTTTAGTTGGATGCTTACTTCTGTTTCCGCACGCAGTCAAGGGTCTGGGTTCTGCATGTAGCTGTCTACTGTGCTCCAAGATGTTGACCAGCAAGGCCACGGCCCAATTGCGAAGAGTCCATTTTAGGAGCAAGGATGATGATTGCCAAGGGTTGTCGGGTGGGGAGGCTGACAACGTCTATGCAGTTGGTAGAATAAAGCAGTCGGACAGGATGTAGGATCAAGAATGCGACCTACAAAATCATAACTCTCAGCGGTAAAAGCCTGCATGAGACGCAAGGGTGTACATACTACTACAGTGAAGCGGCCTCGCCCCGAGTGAAGGCCAAGAACAGCCCTGAAAAACAGGCATGGCAGACCCTAAACCCTAAACCTCCACCCTAAACCGTAAACCCTATATAACTGACCCATGGCAGACCCTAAACCCTAAACCCTCAACCCTAAACCATAAACCCTATATAACTGACCCATGGCAGACCCTAAATCCTAAACCCTCAACCCTAAACCGTAAACCCAATATAACTGACCCATGGCAGACCCTAAACCCTAAACCCTCAACCCTAAACCCTATATAACTGACCCATGGCAGACCCTAAACCCTAAACCCTCAACCCTAAACCGTAAACCCTATATAACTGACCCATGGCAGACCCTAAACTCTAAACCCTAAACCCTGTACAACTGACCCCAGCAGATTTCTGCAAGACGTGAACCCCTAACTTGATCGAGCCCTCGAATCCTCCAGCCCATAAGCCCACTTCACCCGAAACCCTGAGCCCCCGATAGTGCCTTTATCAAGAAGCCCGTAATCAAGGTATCCGAAATAAATGAACCCTTATAACCCATGAACCTGGAGCTCTCTTTTGTCGAGAAGCCTGTAGTAAAGGTATCCCGAATAAAAGAAGAATCCTAAAGACTGAACCCCAAAAGGCCACGGGACCCTCTCCACCACGACGAAAGTGAAGAGCTGCAAGCCAGGGCCCATAGCGGAGAGATCCCAAATGCCCATGAAGGACACATTGTATACGAACACCTCCTGAGTTTGGGGTTTAGGGAAACTGGTTTGGAACGAGGGGCTTTTGGGCTTAGCCTCTAGCCGGGGTATAGGGTTGTGTACTCGGCTCATATTATACATGTTGGCATCCAAAAGCAAGGGTCGTGCCTGTATGTCCATAATATATATATGTACATCTATGTATGTGTGTATATATATGCATACATACATATATATATATATATAGATATAGATATAGATATAGATATAGATATAGATATAGATATAGATATAGATAGAGTTTAGGGTTTAGGGCCAGGGTGTATATATATATATATAT